AACACCATACAAGCACACTGGAGTATGACACAGTTTCCCGGTTTTATCATGACCTTTTTGAACTGATTCCTTCTCTGCCTTGTGGGCATATGTCTCTGATTATTAGCAATCTGTAGTAAGAATAACCCACAGTAGAAATAACCTACAGATACGCTAATGCAGTTACTAGCCTGACTGTTGGCTTCCCTACTGCCCTTGTTCATTTGCATTATTTCTCCTGCTCCTGCCAGCCTGCAGAATGGGATTGCCTACCTCATGCATCTGCTTTCACCAGCCATTCCGTGTTTCCCAGTTTAGTAGAAGCATGCATATTTTTCTAGTGTTGTTCTGCTACCGCACAGTTACTACTCCTCACAGCACAGTTCCCAGAACACTCTCAGAAGAGGATTTTTTTCCTCCATCACCTCTAGGGGATGCCTATGGAAAAGGAATCCACAAATCAAGGGAAAAAAGCGATGATTTATGAGTGGTGACCTAGAAATACTTTTTTTTCTTTCCCCCTCAAGGTCCCTTCACCTGTTGAGGTCTTGCCAGAATTACAACATACTGTGCAACGTTTAAGTAAATCCATGGCAAATCTACAGAGGAGAAAAGTGTATGTGGACATGTAGGGGTGGGTGGAGGAGGAGTTGTGTGAAAGGAAGAACAGTCTTCCTCAGAACAGTGTCATGAAATGTACACCATATTAAAGCTGTAGGCTTACAGTGACCTAACCATAGTCAATAAAAGGCAGGTCGTGCTTTCACGCATGCGGAACTGCTGAAGTGAACAGGCAGTAGAATTTGAGCTGTGATTTGGCCAGTGCATTCTGCCCCTCTCAGTTTCAGAAGGTATTGGTTTTGATTACCTCAGTTTTATTGACATTACGTAAACATCTTGGTGTAGATAAGGCCTGGGACAGCTGTAGGGATGGATGAACTCTGGCTGAGAATTGTTGATGGCTCCTGAGGAACTTAAGATTTGCCCAAGCAGTAATGCCATTCTCAGTTGTGAATGGATGCCAAGAGTCAGCATCTAAGAAGTTATTTAATGGCAACAATGAGATCCTGTCTGCACCATTAAGCACTTGCTAATGTTGGGATCTGTCTAATCAGAGTGTCTTTTTAGAGTCCAACTGATATTTGCAAAAAGCAAAATGGAAATGAATTCTGAGAGCTTCACAGAAGGTTTCTATGCCAAGCTTTTAGTTCAGTTGAACAGATAGACATGTGACATTCATTCACAACAGTGCCAACTAATATAAAAATTACATGAACAATTCCAGCATTGTAAAGTAAAGGAGGACTTGAGAACAAAATTTCTAGATCTGAAAACCCTCTTACTCTAAATAGTATTTGTCTTTGTGATTTTGTGTTTGCTTACTCAAATTTCTATTTTTAGGACCTGTCTCTTACTCTTCCTTGAAAATTGATACTTGTAATAAACAATAAAAGTCATAACTGCTTTAATAGATAAGAAAATATGATTTGTTGAATCACAATATCATTTTCCTAAATGGAAAGTGAACTTAGTCTAAGGTTTGTGCAGTATCAATCCATCTCCCCTTCTTTATTCTGCACTCTTTGGAAGTTTATGATATGCTGCTAGTCTGAATTGTTCTGTAAGTTGCATGTACGAAATATGGCATTTTGACCAAATTTCCCGACTGATTGTGGAAATTTTAACAGAATCATGCATTTATTAACTTCTGACCATGAATTCCATTTCAAGCACTTAAGCTGACTGTTTAGCTGATCTGTCGGTATCTGTCATGTGTTCTGGAGTCTCATCCATGTTATATCCATATGTTCTTAATTTATCAGTGATCTAAATAAGATATGAAAAATTGTAACTTTTCTAGTCATCATGATAGCGAAATATTGCAACAGCCGTCTGGTAGGAGTATGGGGGGGAAAACAACAGCCGTCTGGTAGGAGTATGGGGGGGGAAAAATAAATGCTTCTAAGGCCATAGCTTTTTTTTTTCCTCACCATGTGCGTGGACCTGCACTATCCCACTCCACCCGTGTGCTGGCCCATAGGTTGGTACAACCACACAAGGATCACGGGATACTCATCCAAAAAGAGGCGGAATTTTAACAGGATCAGTTCTCCAGTCTAGTTGATGGCATGTCTGTGTCGATGTAAAAGAGGCAGTGTTTCAGAGACATGCACAACAGTCCAAGGGCACTGAGCAGGTTGGGCAGTTCATGTGGCAGCAGTCCTGGCTTATGACATTTAAATAGTACATGGCATTAGAGTCCAAAAGGCAGCATGGCAAGTAGAAGGAACTATTGTTTTGGCATTGCCTGGTTTGGCAGGGACTAATATCTTGCCTATTGCAATTTTATGCTAATAAATTAAAATTAAGGAAGTTAAGCAACAGACAGATGAACGTTTCTTAAAAGCTAGATTGAATGGGATTTAAGTTAACTTCTACAGCTGGAAATAATAGACAATATGGTGATCCAGTCACGTTAACAATTTAGGCTCTGATAAAGTCCAACAATATTTATGGCACATGATAGAAATGATTGAATAACTTCTAAGCAGCCGGGAACACTTCAGTCTGTCTGTTCACATCCTTTACTACACAGCTAGGGGCTGGGACCATCCACTCAAATACTGGTAGCCAGGTTCAAACATAAAAAACATTGCACAAGGGACACCCAGCAGGTAGGAGACCTGTGGAGCTCCTTGCGGAAGGATGCTAGAGATACAAAAGGTTTCTGTAAGTTCCCAGGAAGACTGGGCAACACTTGCAAGAGAGATCCGTTGAGGATTACTGAAGAGACAAACCATAACTGACTTGGGAATTTCCCTGAGCGGAATGCAGTGTAAGAGTGGGAGAGTAACTGGGGAAAGACCGTTTATGTTTGTCCTCCTCTTTTTCTTTTCTGTGCATCTGCTTATGGTCACTGTTGTGGCTGGTATCCAGGCCAGTGGGCCTTCCTTTGAATAGTGTGGTCATTTGCCCTAGTTACCAGGCTCTTCTGAGATGTAGGTTAAACTTGAGTTAGCCAGTTCGTCAGCTGCTTAAATATGGCCATGCGGCATTATGGATGTCATTTAGGTTCCACTCTGATGTCCTCTAGTGCTTTTCTGTGTTTCCTTCTGCGTGCCTAGCAGAGACGCAGTTTGCTGATCAAGAGGACTCCTGGAGCAGCTCTGTGCTCTCCAGGGAGAACAACTGTGTCATGTGTCGGCAGGACCTGTGGGCTCAGCTGGGCGAGCGCAGCCAAATCCCGCAGCAGCAGTCTGCAGTAAAGCTCACAATTCAAGGGCAGCGCTGGCACTTCTTAACCCGCCTTTGCAGAGCTCCCTGCATCATAAGTTATCTGAGGAAGGATAGGGCAGGTCTGTCCATGCTAGCTTGTGACATACCTTACCGCTGGTTTGAGAACAGATACTGTTAGCTGTGGCTTGGGGACGGGAAAATTAGAAAAGCTGAAGAAGAAAAGATATCTGTGCTGGAAACTGGGCATCTCCCAGCTCTCTAACATGGAAGGGATGTGTCTGTCTGGTTTTAAGCATATATGGCCTTTTCATAGTTTCAATGTCACCCCTCTCTCTAGCTCTAATAAATGCTGTTTTACCATACTTCAAGGGGTTTGCAAATTGCTTTTTTGGGCATTCCTGCCATCATTGTCATTGAGGTGAAAGGGGACTGCTTTTGTCGTACTTAGGGATTATTTGTTAAAAAGCACAGAGATTGGAACCATTTATGTAATTATTTTATCAGCGGGATTGTGGCCTGCCTAGAAGCAGAGCCCAGTGTCCACAAAGAAATGAGTTTAATGGCAAAAGTATGCCGGTTGGCCACGACTCCAGAAAATTATTTGGAAACTCCCCACACTAAGAAAGGACTTGAGGAGGAGATCCACGCAGCTGTGCTGAGTCACACTCTTTCCACGCAGCCGTCCCGTCTGTTCTCACAGTGTTTATTCAGTGTGGCAGGATCCAGCCTCGTCCCCTCCCAGCGTCTCAGCCCACGTTCCACTGTCTGCACGATCAGGGAAAACCACAAACACTTTATTAGATCAAATGCTGTTATTTGGCCCAAAATTTAGAATTACCACACTATCAAAAAATGCTAGTGTTATGACCAAAAATAATTATTCCATCATTACATTTTGAGGAGGGAGTTTTATTTTTGTAAAATAACTATTTGTGATTGAATTATTTAATTTGTTATGGGATTGTTTAATTTCTTTTTAAGTTTAATGAACAATACAGCCATAATTATTATTCACATTTAGAAAAATACTTTTTCTTCTACTTAGCTGAAACTTGTCAAACATTTAAACTCCAGATACATAACAGTCTTATATGATCTAGATGCTGACTATGAAAATGCTTAGTAAATGTGCATTTAGAAATGAAGTGAACAGAGCTGCTAGGATTTGCAAGTTATTTGCTGCACATGCACAGCAGCCACTTTAACCGTTAAAGAGGTGAAAGACCGTGAGAGGATGGGAAGGACAGAAAAAGGCGCTTCCCTCTGCCTTGCTGCAGGGCCATGTAGGAACTTCGCTGCAACCTCCGGATGCCACATTGTCCCTGCTCCTGCCCGGGCTTCCTTTGGGGGTGGCAGGGGAAAGTGATTCCACACAATACTGTACCCCAACAGCCCTACCCTGATCTCTTGAGCAACAGCACAGCAGTACAGGAGCCCACCACAAATATGGGGCTATTGCTGCAAGGCGAGAATCGGGAAACCTTTCCTTTTCCCTTCTTTCTGCCTGAAACTGTTCAGTGTCTTTAGGGGATGCACAAGGTGGAAGCAGGATTTGGATTGTTAATCAGCCCCTAACGTGAGGAGCAAGCAGTTAATTCCTTCAGGTGGGGTGAAATCATAGAATCATATTTTCTTCTGGCAGTTGTGCTTATTCCAGTTATGCTGGATTGCACCAGTCCCAGGCAATTTTCAACCCTTTGGTGGCCAGGTGACTGCTCCTTGCAGTGAGATGCTTCACCCCAAACCACAGGCATAACAATGCTCAGTAAAAGCCAGTCCTTCACCTGCTTCTTGTGAGGGATAATCCTCTTTTTGTGCTGGCCAGCTGTTCCTGGTTCCGAGGCAGTGGTGTACTGGGCAGCAGCCAGGGTCTCTTACGGAGGCTTCAGGTCCCTGCTCCTGCCCAGGTCCTGGCTCGGCATCTGCTATAAGCCTGGGCTTGGCTTCTGCAGGCACAGCTCCTCCGGGGACCCTCTTTCTGCTGCGCTTAAGGCAACTAAGCTCACGATTCTGGCTCTTGCTGACTGAGGAACTGTTCTCGCCTTTCTCTCCCTCCCTCCCAACCAAGCATTGCTCCAGCAGGGTGAGGTCGGAGATCTCCTGCCAGATTCTCCCACAGCTGGGGGAAGCTCCCACAGGCTTGGCCATGAACTCACACCCACCAGCTTCCTTTGCTAAATCCAAGTAAATACTTTTACACGACAGTTAATAATTTTACATTTAAACAATGTAATCTTACTTCTGCATAGTCTTCTAGCAGTCAAGGACTGTCTTTTTGCAAAACAGTATAAAAGGCTGAAGTGCAAAAGCAGCAGTACTTACATTTTAATTGCATAAAAATTCTGCGTGGTTGTTACAGGTACTCGGTGTATTAGCTATCATCGCTGGGTTTGATGGTAAATTAACTAGGAGTGTGAGTGTGAGAATTAAGAAAGTCTAAATGTTCCACAAATGTTTGCCCAGTGAAAGCTATATTCCTAGGGTTGCAAAGGTTAATTCCCCATATTTAATTCAACATATCACTTGTTGATGACAGCTGCAACGCTAGCCTTATTGCTGTGCATTTACTGCAAAATGAAGGGCAATGCTTTTCTACCTATTTTTCTCTACTGCTGTACCAGGGATTTGAAACAAAGAAAATGTTGGATTTTATTCTCCCCACTGTGTTTAGGTTTATTTATGCTTTGGCAGAAAAGCTGGTTGATCTGGTTTTTCTAGGATGGAGTCATTACTGTATTACCTTCCTGACCTGGTGAAAGATCTCTTTTTTTTTTATAGCATGTATATCATGGCCTACACACAAAAATAATTGAAATATGATTAAATTACCTCTACTTATAGAGATAAATTACATTTAAAATCTGTAATTAAATACTCAGTACAGGTCATAGGAGACTACAGTGAAGTATTGTATGAAGATTTGAAGGATTTATGAAAAGTAATTAGGTGGTTCAGGGTGAAGACCCATTCCAAAGAGCTAAAACTTGTGGTATCTGGCTTCTGACTCCCTGCAAAGAGCGTAGCCTTGTTCCTGCTAGCCTCCCACGCTGGGCAGAGCAGCAGGAGGCAGCCCCAGCGAGGTTGGACATGAGCACTGGTAACCTCTGGGTGAACTGCAGGCACAGGCTGTCCGTGCTGGAGAAAACCAGCTTCCTTTGGCCTTATTGGGAGTTATCTGTATCCTCTTGTGGAAGAAAGGTCAAGACGGTTCGTGTGAGTGGAGCTGGGGGACAACATGAACTGCAGTCTCTGCTCTGTAAGAGCCTGACAACACAGTAAACACCCCGATTGCCAAAAAAAACAGCAGGAAAAACACCTGTGCTTTGGAGTGTGATTCCTGCAGGCACTGAGCTAGGGCCGTGGGTGCCTAAGGGCTCAGGTGGAAACTACTGAGGGGACGGGTGCAGCCTGCCCCATGCCTAAGAGACATCAGGTGTCTAATCCAGAAAATCCTGTTTCTGCGTTGCCACTGGACGTGGCAAAACAAAGTTCTTTCTTGCTCTCAACCTTCTTCTCCCCAAAAGAAAATCTACAGAGGAAGAGAAGGAAGAGGAGCAGCACTCTTTTTTACCCATTACCTAAGGATTGTGAAGATCTAGGATCAATGTGTAAAGGGGATTTCAGCTCACGTTATCTCCTTATCCTAAGACAGAGCTCCTACCTCCAAGTTAAAAGATACCGTAGTGCTTGGACGTTTTCATTTTCTCCTAGTGAAACTACTCCACTTTGCTTAAAGCACTTACGTGTTCATTGGCACGCTGGCGTCTCACATCCTATTTATTAACAGTGACCTAGCAGGATGTGACCTAACACCACAAAATCTTAAAAAATGTGAAATAAAAACATGAAGGGACGATCTGTGCATTTCTTTCCACATTCTCAGTGCCTACAACAATGAAGTGAAAAATTAACGTGCAGCAAAATTTCACAAAATTTTCAGGTTCATCCCCAAGAGCAATGAATTCCCCTATTTCATCACTGACTTTGTAACATAATGGCAAACATGACATCCCCACACAGGACCAGCCTTTCTTAGAGTGCTTGGTTGTGGAGCTGTGAAATAAGGCTTGCCTTTCATTTGAGCTTGATAGTGTATGGCTTTTTAACCAGTATGTATTTTCCCTCTTTTTAAGCCTCTCTCTTTAGTTCACAAAACATTACCACATACCAGACAATTGGAAAAAAATCGCATCTGTTGAAAACTAGACAGTGGTAACAGCGTGTCTGTAGTCAAGAGTTAAAAAGAACGTGTTGACAGTCCCCACCCAGGTTCATATTACTTTGCAAGTAATAAAGATCAGCTTTTTATTTATTGCCTGTGGCTTGAGCTATCAGAATATACACAAGTTGCATTTTTAAAGGATTTTTATTTCTTCTGCGAAAGTCAGGACTTTATTTTAAACAAAAGCTGGATTCTCATGTAATTAAGTTCAGCATTAAAACTTTAACAAAAAAGCAGTAATTATTATAATCCTCATTATAAAGTCTCTTGGGTGGTAGTTATCAGCTCTTCAGGGCAAGGATTGCATAGTGGCTTAGTCACTAGGTGCACTGTTTTTGCTTGAGTTTTCTAGGTGCTATCAAAATATACACTCAGCTCACTTATAAGGAAAAACCTAGCCTGAAGTGAAGAAATGAGGAGGTAGCCTGGGGTGATGCCAGTGTGTGCTGATGCCAACACTGAGCCATTGGCACAAGAGCTCACCGTGCACAGAAGGCAACTGGGATACGCGTTGCTGCATATACCTTTCTCTTTTCTGTTTTCTGTTCCCCACCCTTGTGTAAGTATTCCTGTTACAGTAAAATGAGTCAGATGATACTATGCCGTATCTTCCCTTCCACAGAGTACAGGATCCCTTCCCCATTGGACAGCACTAAAAGAAAGGACTTGAGATCTCTCAGTTCACCCAGTAAGCCTGTACTTGCCTGACACTACCTGCATCTTCTGATGATTTTCAGCAGTCAAATACAACTGAACGATATATGCCAAAAGATGAGCTGGTGGGGAAGAAGACTGGCCTGACTGAACAGAGGGCTTTGGCTGGAACTCAGGAAAAAAAGGAGCGTTTATGACCTTTGGAAGAAGGGGCAGGCAACTCAGGAGGACTACAAAGATGTCATGAGGTTAGGCAGGGAGAAAATTAGAACGGCCAAAGCCCAACCGGAACTTAAGTTGTCTACTGCAGTAAAAGACAATAAAAAAATGTTTCTATAAATACATCCACACCAAAAGGTGGGCTAAGGAGAATCTTCATCCTTTATTGGATGTGGGGGGAAACAAAGTGACAAAGGATGAGGAAAAGGCTGAGGTACTTAATGCCTTCTTTGCCTCAGTCTTTAATAGTAAGACCAGTTGTTCTCAGGACATGCAGCCCCCTGAGC